GTCATCCAACCCTTCATACATTAGACACTGTATTTCCCACACTCGTGGCTATAGAGGTTTTTCAATCATACTTTTCTTCAAGTATGCTCAATGACAGCATCCGATTACATTCGGTAACACATAACCTACAAACACTGTCGATTAGAGTCTATCACATTTGTTTGGTGAAACTTTTAAGATCTCAAAAAAGTACTTTACCATTTTAGACACTCTACTGTTAATATCATGTTTTTGTCTTACTGTAATATGTTAGTCTTTGAATTATCTTTATCTAAATACAGTTGTACACTACCACTAAAGGTTTGGAGTCATAAAAAGTTTTGTTTTTGAAAGAAGTCTCTTATAGTCACAAAAGATGCATTATTTGATTAAAAATGTAAAATATTATTACAATTTAAAATAACTGCTTTCTATTTGAATATATTGTAATATGTAATTTATTCCTGTGATCAAAGCTGAATTTTCAGCATCATAACTCCAGTCTTCAGTGTCACATGACTCTTTCAGAAATCATTCTAATACGCTGATTTGCTGCTCGAGAAACATTTATGATTATTATCAATGTTGAAAACAGTTGTGCTGATTCATATTTCCATATATTGTTTATTTTTAGGATTATTTGATAAATAGAAAGTTTAAAAGAACAGCATTTATTTGAAATAGAAATCTTTTGCAACAATATAAATGTCTTTACTGTCACTTTTGATCAATTTAATGCATTCTCGCTGAATAAAAGTATTACTTTCTTGCAAAAAAATAAATAAATAAATACTCACTGACCCTAAACTTTTGTATAGTAGTGAAAATACACATGACAATCATCAAGTACTATGTTATGTTTCAAATGTATATTAAATGGTTGAATGGTTGTAAATCAAACATATATGAAAACACCACTAATTAGCAGCTCTCCAAAATAATTACCGTTTATGCACATGTTATTTATTATATAGGTGCTTGACTTGGCATGCACAGATGCAGCAGCCAGTTATTTATTAATCATATACTAGTTTTCAGTAGTGTTGAATGATTACTAATATTAATACACAGTAACATGAGCACTGTAGCCTGAAGTGTGGCCATTGGTTCTGACCGTTTCGTTTTATAGCTGTTGTAAAAAGTGCTATTATGACTTGCGAATCTGCCTGTGGGAAGCCGTTGTATAGTGCCGAGTCTTTCCGTGAAAGGCTTTACTGTGCCAAATGGAAACAATGTAAGGAAACAGACGCCACTTCAGCCGTGCGGCTCGTACAGTGAAGCCCTGTGGCGACTGACTGACCTGCTTGGCTCGAGTCTGTCGATGTGTGTCCGCGGCATGTAAAGAACAGTTGTTTGGGGTCCCTTCAGATTCCACCCACCCAATTAAAGGACCTGAGGCGTGCTTTCTTCTGCTCTATAAATACAGTTTATAATGGAGCAAAGCATGGAGTCTGGGGGGCTGGGAACGGAGGAAGCAGAAGGCGAAAGGAGGCATTAATAATGATGATAAAAGCTAGTAAAACACAGGCCAAGGCTCAGATTTGACCTCTACTACTTCCTTGTGTGCAGGAGGTGCTGGTTCCTGTTGTGTCTCCTCTGTGTGATTTTACCAGAGTGGGAAGCCGGTCTGTCTTCTACTCCCGTACTATTGCCATGAGTCCCAATTTTTGTCATTGTCTGGTTTTCAAAACACTCCATAAGCAGCCTACTGATGTATATATGTGACCCTGGACCACAAAACCAGTCATAAGGGTCAATTTTTTTTTATTGAGATGTATACATCATCTGAAAGCTGAATAAATAAGCTTTCCATTGATGTATGGTTTGTTAGGATAGGACAATATTTGGCCAAGATAGATCTATTTAAAAATCTGGAATCTGAGGGTGCAAAAAATCAAAATACTGAGAAAATCGCCTTTAAAGTTGTCCAAATGAAGTTCTTAGCAAAGCATATTACTAATCAAAAATTAAGTTGAGATTTACGGTAGGAAATGTACAAAATATCTTCATGGAACATGATCTTTACTTAATATCCGAATGATTTTTGGCATAAAAGAAAAAGAACATTTTGACCCATACAATGTTTTTTGGCTATTGCGAAAAATATACCCCAGCGACTTAAGACTGGTTTTGTGCTCCAGGGTCACATATTGTAAATGTAATGTAAATATCTTAAAATAATAGTAATCATAAATAGTTTAATAAGAAATATAAAAATAAAAATACAATAAAAGAAATAAACATTTGAAAAAAATAAATGTCAAAATGAAATAAGATTCCACATTAAAAATTAATATGAGGGACATAAAAGCAAAAAACCTGATGTTAACTTCTTTTTTTTTTTTTTACTGTTTATTTACCGTGTGTGTGTGTGTGTGTGTGTATATAACATAAAATATAAAAAAACTATTAAAAATTTAAAAATTTAAAAATATATATATATATATATGTGTGTGTGTGTGTGTATATAACATAAAATATAAAAAAACTATTAAAAATTTAAAAATTTAAAAATATATATATATATATATGTGTGTGTGTGTGTGTATATAACATAAAATATAAAAAAACTATTAAAAATTTAAAAATTTAAAAATATATATATATATATATGTGTGTGTGTGTGTGTATATAACATAAAATATAAAAAAACTATTAAAAATTTAAAAATTTAAAAATATATATATATATATATGTGTGTGTGTGTGTGTATATAACATAAAATATAAAAAAACTATTAAAAATTTAAAAATTTAAAAATATATATATATATATATGTGTGTGTGTGTGTGTATATAACATAAAATATAAAAAAACTATTAAAAATTTAAAAATTTAAAAATATATATATATATATATGTGTGTGTGTGTGTGTATATAACATAAAATATAAAAAAACTATTAAAAATTTAAAAATTTAAAAATATATATATATATATATGTGTGTGTGTGTGTGTATATAACATAAAATATAAAAAAACTATTAAAAATTTAAAAATTTAAAAATATATATATATATATATGTGTGTGTGTGTGTGTATATAACATAAAATATAAAAAAACTATTAAAAATTTAAAAATTTAAAAATATATATATATATATATGTGTGTGTGTGTGTGTATATAACATAAAATATAAAAAAACTATTAAAAATTTAAAAATTTAAAAATATATATATATATATATGTGTGTGTGTGTGTGTATATAACATAAAATATAAAAAAACTATTAAAAATTTAAAAATTTAAAAATATATATATATATATATGTGTGTGTGTGTGTGTATATAACATAAAATATAAAAAAACTATTAAAAATTTAAAAATTTAAAAATATATATATATATATATGTGTGTGTGTGTGTGTATATAACATAAAATATAAAAAAACTATTAAAAATTTAAAAATTTAAAAATATATATATATATATATGTGTGTGTGTGTGTGTATATAACATAAAATATAAAAAAACTATTAAAAATTTAAAAATTTAAAAATATATATATATATATATGTGTGTGTGTGTGTGTATATAACATAAAATATAAAAAAACTATTAAAAATTTAAAAATTTAAAAATATATATATATATATATGTGTGTGTGTGTGTGTATATAACATAAAATATAAAAAAACTATTAAAAATTTAAAAATTTAAAAATATATATATATATATATGTGTGTGTGTGTGTGTATATAACATAAAATATAAAAAAACTATTAAAAATTTAAAAATTTAAAAATATATATATATATATATGTGTGTGTGTGTGTGTATATAACATAAAATATAAAAAAACTATTAAAAATTTAAAAATTTAAAAATATATATATATATATATGTGTGTGTGTGTGTGTATATAACATAAAATATAAAAAAACTATTAAAAATTTAAAAATTTAAAAATATATATATATATATATGTGTGTGTGTGTGTGTATATAACATAAAATATAAAAAAACTATTAAAAATTTAAAAATTTAAAAATATATATATATATATATGTGTGTGTGTGTGTGTATATAACATAAAATATAAAAAAACTATTAAAAATTTAAAAATTTAAAAATATATATATATATATATGTGTGTGTGTGTGTGTATATAACATAAAATATAAAAAAACTATTAAAAATTTAAAAATTTAAAAATATATATATATATATATGTGTGTGTGTGTGTGTATATAACATAAAATATAAAAAAACTATTAAAAATTTAAAAATTTAAAAATATATATATATATATATGTGTGTGTGTGTGTGTATATAACATAAAATATAAAAAAACTATTAAAAATTTAAAAATTTAAAAATATATATATATATATATGTGTGTGTGTGTGTGTATATAACATAAAATATAAAAAAACTATTAAAAATTTAAAAATTTAAAAATATATATATATATATATGTGTGTGTGTGTGTGTATATAACATAAAATATAAAAAAACTATTAAAAATTTAAAAATTTAAAAATATATATATATATATATGTGTGTGTGTGTGTGTATATAACATAAAATATAAAAAAACTATTAAAAATTTAAAAATTTAAAAATATATATATATATATATGTGTGTGTGTGTGTGTATATAACATAAAATATAAAAAAACTATTAAAAATTTAAAAATTTAAAAATATATATATATATATATGTGTGTGTGTGTGTGTATATAACATAAAATATAAAAAAACTATTAAAAATTTAAAAATTTAAAAATATATATATATATATATGTGTGTGTGTGTGTGTATATAACATAAAATATAAAAAAACTATTAAAAATTTAAAAATTTAAAAATATATATATATATATATGTGTGTGTGTGTGTGTATATATATATATATATATATATATATGTATATTATTACTCATTTTATTACAGCTATTTGCCAAAGCAACATTTCTCATTTTCAATTAGGTTAGTTCAAGTAGTTTAAGTACTAAAAGAAGTAAAACTAAAGCTTAATAAAACTATATATACATATGTAAAAAAATAAATAAATAAAAGGAAAAGAAAATTATAAATCACGTTTTCCCATGTTTGTACTTTTTACAGAAAGAAGTGAAGGATGTGTTTGCTGCCATCGTGTTTGAAGCAGCCTACAGCTTAGGAAAACACGTTGTGGATGGACACCAGGACCGTGACCTTCCCTCACTCACTCCTGTTCTACGCTGGAAAAAAGGAGAGAAGATCGCTGCAAAGAACGAGGTTTGAATTTTCCACCTTTTACTACACCTACAAAATTAAGTTCTAACATGACACAACCTTTTGTACCAAACAGAAATACTGGAGATGCCAAAAAAAAAAACTAAACCAACTGTCTTGAGCAGACGGCAGTACACAAATCCATTCAGAATGACCAAACACAGCAACATACACATGACAAATCAAAACATTATCCTGAATTTGTGTGGAAAAAATGTACTGAATGTACTGAAAAATCTCTGTGCTTACTGTATGACTCCTGTATGTCACTGCATCATCTTGCCTTGATTACAGTCCTTATCTTTCAAAACTTTACTAGCGAAACACTGGTTTGCTTTATACAGCCAGGAATGTGATCAGTGTAATCAGTCTGGTTTTCTTTACAGCAGAGCTGCTTTAGATTGATTGTTTGAATGCATTTGCTTAATGGTTCATCGGACTGAAGAAGTTCCCAGAGATGAGTGGTTTTTGATCACAAACACAGAAGCAAAATCAGGTTAAAGGGTTAGAATAGAAATTTCCGCCTACCGCCTCCTTGTGCCCCTGTAGATGCTCAGTGATAAACTCCAAACTTCCAGTATCATCTCAGTGACTAAATTATGTTAATGATGCAATACCACATGCTTCAGTAATATATTTGCGTTAACGCTGACACCCCTTGTGTGTGTGTGTGTGTGTGTACACTCTCAGAAAAAAAGGTACAAAAGCTATCACTGGGGTGGTACCCTTTCAAAAGCTGTATCTTATGTACTCCTAAAGGATGAATATTAGTACCATAAATGTACACATTAGCATCAAAAGTATACATATTAGTACCTAAATGGTGCATATTACTACCTTTTAACAAGGTATTGCTCCAGTGACAGATTTTGTACCTGTATTTCTGAGTGTGTACATTTCTATGTAGTTTTTGCATGTTTTTACATTTTAATATTTTTACAATGGTCTCATATAGTACATTATTTTAATTTACTCTGTTTCTCACCTTTTTACTCATTTGCCGTTGGCATCACCCAGCAGCTCCGAATGCCAGAAATGATCCATTTCTCTAGTTATAAATGTGGTTTTAGTTAGCGCTCGATGATGGCTGTTGACTCTTTGTGAGTGTAATGTGGAAGATTGATGAATTTATTTGCCAACACCCCACTTCGTAACCCACCCTCCCATTAGGCCACATGCTTTTCCTTCTCAGCTTTAGGAAACACGCTGCTGGCATCTTTCAGCGCGTCAGGAATCCATTACAATGGAATCTGAGGCTATTAGTAACTGTGCAGTTTGTCTGTAGCGCTAAAGCAAAGGTGTCGATGTCTAAATCTGTCCAACGCAAACACACGGCACTTTCTTGTGCTTTACGCTTGAAACCACTACTCAAATACTGGAGCTTTGAAGGCCGTTGGGAAAATGTCCCATCGAGTGTGTGAAGTCTTGCACAACAGCACCCTCTAGTATTTGTGTCCCATCTCGGGTTATACTGACAGTGAGGTGGTGTAAACATCCTGTGCTCTGTTTGACTCTTCACAGACGTGGTTTGAGAAGAACTGTCTGTCAGAGGACTGCGCCGCTGACCTGAGGCTTCATGGGAAACTGCTGCTTTCTGGGTAAAGCCCCTGGTCTTCTCCTGCTTTCAGTAGATTTACGTCAGTAGGGCTGAGTCTGTGGGTGTGGACACACGCTTGACTCTCAGCAGCCCATGACGTCATTCATTAGCTAGTCTGAAGGAGGTCCTGCAGTCTGGTTCCCAATGATCTGGTTTCTCTGTAATCAAAAGTGTTTCCTTAAATGCTGAACCTTCACTGTTTAAAGAGTGGATAGTGATTTCACTGCTTACTGTATGTGCTAGTAATTGAAAACACATTTTACTGAAATGGCTACAAAACAAGCATTCATGTTCTGTGACAGGAAAATTAGGTCTATTTTTAGGACCAGTTTTTATTTATTTATTTATTTGTATTACAATATTTTTATTGCATAAATACATTTAGATATTTTACTTTTACTTTTATTAAAATCGCCTTTAAAATTGTCCAAATAAAGTTCTTAGCAATGCATATTACTAATCAAAAATTAAGTTTGGATATATTTACAGTAGGAAATTTACAAAATGTCTTCATGGAACATGATCTTTACTAGAGCCTGACCGATATATCGTTTAGCCGATATTATCGGCCGATATGAGCCTGTATACCGATATATCAGCGAATATGTCACCGATATGAAAATTTTTTTTACAGAACATATAACGCAGCTAAAATGCTTGAAATGGTGTAATTACTTAGTTTGTCCAGCAGAGCGTGCTCCATTGTTTGCTACTGGCGACCTGGATGAAACGCTTTAAAGCTTAAGTCTATGGAAAACCATTGAAACTTTGAACGGCCATATCTCCGTAACGGCGTGGAGAATCTGCACCAAATTCGGGGGATCCCTTCAGCTCGAGGGACCCTCTCGAACGCGAATCGAGTGTACGACTCGAGGCCCTCTTTCAAATGAGACCACCCCCGCGGCGATAGCCCCCGGGGGTTGGGGGTTACACAAATCCATTCAGAATGACCAAACACAGCAACATACACATGACAAATCAAAACATTATCCTGAATTTGTGTGGAAAAAATGTACTGAATGTACTGAAAAATCTCTGTGCTTACTGTATGACTCCTGTATGTCACTGCATCATCTTGCCTTGATTACAGTCCTTATCTTTCAAAACTTTACTAGCGAAACACTGGTTTGCTTTATACAGCCAGGAATGTGATCAGTGTAATCAGTCTGGTTTTCTTTACAGCAGAGCTGCTTTAGATTGATTGTTTGAATGCATTTGCTTAATGGTTCATCGGACTGAAGAAGTTCCCAGAGATGAGTGGTTTTTGATCACAAACACAGAAGCAAAATCAGGTTAAAGGGTTAGAATAGAAATTTCCGCCTACCGCCTCCTTGTGCCCCTGTAGATGCTCAGTGATAAACTCCAAACTTCCAGTATCATCTCAGTGACTAAATTATGTTAATGATGCAATACCACATGCTTCAGTAATATATTTGCGTTAACGCTGACACCCCTTGTGTGTGTGTGTGTGTGTGTACACTCTCAGAAAAAAAGGTACAAAAGCTATCACTGGGGTGGTACCCTTTCAAAAGCTGTATCTTATGTACTCCTAAAGGATGAATATTAGTACCATAAATGTACACATTAGCATCAAAAGTATACATATTAGTACCTAAATGGTGCATATTACTACCTTTTAACAAGGTATTGCTCCAGTGACAGATTTTGTACCTGTATTTCTGAGTGTGTACATTTCTATGTAGTTTTTGCATGTTTTTACATTTTAATATTTTTACAATGGTCTCATATAGTACATTATTTTAATTTACTCTGTTTCTCACCTTTTTACTCATTTGCCGTTGGCATCACCCAGCAGCTCCGAATGCCAGAAATGATCCATTTCTCTAGTTATAAATGTGGTTTTAGTTAGCGCTCGATGATGGCTGTTGACTCTTTGTGAGTGTAATGTGGAAGATTGATGAATTTATTTGCCAACACCCCACTTCGTAACCCACCCTCCCATTAGGCCACATGCTTTTCCTTCTCAGCTTTAGGAAACACGCTGCTGGCATCTTTCAGCGCGTCAGGAATCCATTACAATGGAATCTGAGGCTATTAGTAACTGTGCAGTTTGTCTGTAGCGCTAAAGCAAAGGTGTCGATGTCTAAATCTGTCCAACGCAAACACACGGCACTTTCTTGTGCTTTACGCTTGAAACCACTACTCAAATACTGGAGCTTTGAAGGCCGTTGGGAAAATGTCCCATCGAGTGTGTGAAGTCTTGCACAACAGCACCCTCTAGTATTTGTGTCCCATCTCGGGTTATACTGACAGTGAGGTGGTGTAAACATCCTGTGCTCTGTTTGACTCTTCACAGACGTGGTTTGAGAAGAACTGTCTGTCAGAGGACTGCGCCGCTGACCTGAGGCTTCATGGGAAACTGCTGCTTTCTGGGTAAAGCCCCTGGTCTTCTCCTGCTTTCAGTAGATTTACGTCAGTAGGGCTGAGTCTGTGGGTGTGGACACACGCTTGACTCTCAGCAGCCCATGACGTCATTCATTAGCTAGTCTGAAGGAGGTCCTGCAGTCTGGTTCCCAATGATCTGGTTTCTCTGTAATCAAAAGTGTTTCCTTAAATGCTGAACCTTCACTGTTTAAAGAGTGGATAGTGATTTCACTGCTTACTGTATGTGCTAGTAATTGAAAACACATTTTACTGAAATGGCTACAAAACAAGCATTCATGTTCTGTGACAGGAAAATTAGGTCTATTTTTAGGACCAGTTTTTATTTATTTATTTATTTGTATTACAATATTTTTATTGCATAAATACATTTAGATATTTTACTTTTACTTTTATTAAAATCGCCTTTAAAATTGTCCAAATAAAGTTCTTAGCAATGCATATTACTAATCAAAAATTAAGTTTGGATATATTTACAGTAGGAAATTTACAAAATGTCTTCATGGAACATGATCTTTACTAGAGCCTGACCGATATATCGTTTAGCCGATATTATCGGCCGATATGAGCCTGTATACCGATATATCAGCGAATATGTCACCGATATGAAAATTTTTTTTACAGAACATATAACGCAGCTAAAATGCTTGAAATGGTGTAATTACTTAGTTTGTCCAGCAGAGCGTGCTCCATTGTTTGCTACTGGCGACCTGGATGAAACGCTTTAAAGCTTAAGTCTATGGAAAACCATTGAAACTTTGAACGGCCATATCTCCGTAAAGGCGCGGCGAATCCGCACCAAATTCGGGGGATCCCTTCAGCTCGAGGAACCCTCTCGAACGTGAATCGAGTGTACGTCTCGAGGCCCTCTTTCGAATGAGACCACCCCCGCGTCGATAGCCCCCGGGGTTCGGGAGTTACGGGTGGTTAAATTCGCGGTCCGGCGATCCCGGGGGGCTGCCGACGCGCGGAGGGTGGCGTTCGAGAGGGCTCCTCGAGCCGAAGGGATCCCCCGAATTTGGTGGCGATCCACCGGCGCATTTGCGAGATAGTGACACCAGCCAACACTTTCACTTCAGTAAGGAGGTCTCTTGTTCAGGCAGCAGCATTCAAGCGTTGTCTTATGCTCTATATATAGTACCAGTCAAATGTGTTGACACACGAATGGGAAAGTGTCCAAACTTTTGACTGGTACTGTACTATAATATACACAAAGAATATCAGCCGATATATCGATATTGGCCTTTTTTACTCCCTAATATCAGTATTGTATCGGCCCCAAAAAACCCATATTGGTCGGGCTCTAATCTTTACTTAATATCCTAATGATTTTTGGCATAAAAGAAAAATCTAAAGATTTTGACCCATACAATGTATTGTTGGCTATTGCTACAAATATACCTGTGCGACTTATGACTGGTTTTGTGGTCCAGGGTCATATTCATGAGAATTTGCAAGCAAATGTGCTTAATTTTCATATAGAATACTAAATTAAGCTTATTTTTGTTCATATGCAATATTTAATTTAATTTTAATTCATTATTAATTTAATTTAATTAATTATAAAATAAAATTGGTGTTATACTAAGCACTACAGTAATATATAATAAATACTTAGATTAAAATAATAATACAAAAAAAATGTTCACAAATTATTTTACAGTAATAATAATTTGTAGATCAAATTGTCTTGAAAACTGTCACAATGCGAAAATATTAATTATATTAAAATAGGCTTAATTTTTCTTTATGCAAAATTGAATTTCTCATTTCTTTTGATTTTGTTTTTTTGTTATTTAAATCATCAAAATGTAATGTTACAAGAAATACTACAGTGATATATTAAGTAGGTAATTGAAGATTAAAATAATATAATCATTAATTTCACAGTACAGTCATGAGAATTTGCTAATAAAACTGTCATAAAGTCACAATGCAAAAAATATTGATTGTCCTAAAATAGGCCTAATTTTTCTTTAAGATTTTTTTTTTTTTTTTGCTTATGGTGTGAAATATGATGCAAACATTTTTAGATTTATATTTATGCAAATAGCAGATGCTTTTATTAAAAGAGAAGGAGCAAAGCAATTTGTCAAAAAGCCAACGATATTCATAATACACAATACCAGGTTCCTATATTCTTAACAGGTTTCTTGAGATTCATCCTGTTGTCCTTGTCTCACTTTTTCTCATTTCTATCATTTTCCCAGGCGTTACATCAGTTCTCATCTGGCTCTTGGTGGAGTAAGAAACGTCTCGTTAAATTTAACCGTCTCTAATGCTGGAGATGACGCCTACGACACCAACATCTACTTAAACTTCTCCAGAGAGGTTCACTACATCAACTTCTTACAAAGAGTAAGTCAGTGAAACTCTATATTTGCCAATGGTTTCTCTACACCAGACCTTTTGACTAGTGACTTGCAGGCTTCTGAAGTTTGCAGTTTATTCTGGCCATTTGCTTCAAACTAAATACTCCAATATAATTGGTAAACTTGCAAATCCAGCAACTAGTTCAGTGACTCCTAAGATGTTTTCATTGGTAAAGACCAATTTGATAAAAACCTACTGAAAATTGCATGAAGAACATTGTCTTTGAACATTCTGTTTGTAATATGCACCAGGCGGCCCATGGGTGGGCCATGAACGTCGTGCCAAATGGTGACAAATAGGTTCAATGATATGCGCTGGAAAATGTGACAAGTCTGAATCCTCCTTTCTAAGGGTATGTGGTCATCATATCCATGATTTAAAGGGACAGATTCGAGAAAAGCGTGTAGAATATAAAGAGATAGGCATTCGGTCAGCAGAGGAAGTTGTGGAAACAGGAGGAAGTGCACAGTTTCTTGCAGCTGGTCAGTGTGTCGTTATCTCGGGCTTCTCGAACGTGTCTCACACTGACCTACAGCTCCCTCATGTTCTGTTTCCCCTGCTGAAAAGCATTCTGTAGTTATCAGCAGCATGAGCAAGAACATTTCCTCCTTTAGTTTGACGATTAATGGAGAGACTCTTTACGATTGCTAGACAGACCACTTTAAAATGAACTCAGCCTTCTCAAAAAGAAAACAAAGCAGTGGAATTGTACATTTTAATGGATGATCTTTCACTTTTAATGGATTATACTATATGTATATTTGATCATGCGTTTCCTAATTGTGACTTTTTCTATATTTTTTTAACAACGAGAAACACAGAAGATGCAAAAATGTACTGTCAGTAACTGACAGAAATACTACTTCTTAAAAGTATATTTCACCAAAAAATGAATATTCTGACATTATTTTCTTGCCCTCATGTTGTTCCAAACTAGTATAATGTTCTTTCTTTTCAAAATAGTTTTTAGTTTTTTTTTTTTTATTTAAATTAAACATTTAACAAAAAATATGATTTTTTAGAAAAAAATTATTAAAAAACAAAAATACTACTAAGTATTCAAAATCATTTACTTTTGGTCTGGCCTTAATGGTGTATTTGATATTTTGGCCATCATTTGTTTTTGCATTCCAAAATCTTTCTGAAAGAATTCAATTATCTCTAACGTAAACATAGAGTCTTGATACCGACGGAGCTCTTAACATTGTTTTACCATCTTAAATTTCATTGGATAATTTCTGCAGCATTACCTCCCTCTTCTGAAAGTAATTCCTCATGTGTTGGGGGTAACGCATTACAAGTAATGCAAGTTACATAATCAGATTACTTTTTTCAAGTAACTAATAAAGTAACACATTACTTTTTAATTTAGAAGAAAATATCTGAGTTACTTTTTCAAATAAGTAACACTAGTTACTTTGTTTCCTATGTCTTGACTGACAGCTCTCGTGTTGCCATGAAAAATGGGGAGTAAGTGCAGAGGCGTTGTGTGCGCTGTGATGTTACTGTATATTCAGTATTCCTCAAAAGGAATAAAACAGTCAAATGCAAACTCAGAATATAATATAAACCTGCAATAATTAAATATGTTAAATAAGACAAATATCATTTATGTATTTAATCCCATTTTATTAACCAATGTCTTTGCTACTGACCTTCGATGATATAATTCAACCATACTAATAAGCAAAAATGACACATTTGTTTCATTTTTGTTATTGCTGAATAGTGTTGAACTCTCTTTTCCTGCGACTTATTCTTCATGCAATTTGTTTGAGCTGCGCCCTCTACGGTACAGACGTGAATTTGCATTTCCTTCAGCCTGAGGCGTATTCATTTCACTTCTAATGTGAAAAGGGCTTTTACGTTTGTAAAAGAAGAACTTTTTAATATTGAAAACAAACAAGCAAGCCCTGCCCAGATTTAAAAAGTAACTCAAAAGTAGCATAACGCATTACTTTCCATAATAAGTAACGAAGTAATGTAATTAGTTACTTTTTTAGGGAGTAACGCTATATTGTAATGCATTACTTTTAAAAGTAACTTTCCCCAACAAGGGTTGAAGAGGACGCATGCGGGCGTCCAGGTGGAAGTGTATTGCGAGAAGACACAGGGACCGCACTTTGTTTGTTGTTCTAGTTCTATACACGCAGCAGGACGCCTCTAATTACCCAGCGCCGTGAGAAACCATCTATGTTGATGTGACCCATCTACAAGCGTCTCCCTCAGAGCGCTTCAGCTCTCCGTCATGCCGAGTGTGAACTCGTGCTCGCCTCTTGTTTTATAGTAGCTCCTGTTGTCTCTGTGTTTGTCTTGCAACCCAAACCATCTGCAGCAGTGAATTGGTTTCAGAAGCTCAATCGCACCGTTTGGCTGGCCCCGGGGCCCCTCTGGCAAAGAAACACACTCAGTGTAATTACATAAACAGTGTTTTGTCCTTCTTAAATTGCGGCAGGTGAAGCGAAGACCTTCAAATTGGTGAGCAAATGATTAGATTAACTTCAGTGTTGCTGAAGCACTAAAAGACGAGGCCGAGAGAGGGAAACAAGCTGGCTGGAGATGAAATATAAGAGTTTATTTTACAGTCGCACAGCCAATACATACATCATTTGAGATTTGTTAATGTTTCAGTTTAGTAACACACAGAGCAGAGAGTACTGACTTAATAAAAACACCTCTTTCCTTCCTGAACACCACAGAATACAATTACCCAAACAGTAGTGACAAAACTAGAAATGTGACATTTAATTGCCATTTCTTCAAATGGTTTAAAGTGGTTCAACAATAGATTTAATGCTTGTGAAATGTTAGTAAAAAATGTTGACATTCAAAAGTTTGGGGTCAGTAATATATACAGTTTCTACAAAATATGAAACAGCACAGCTGTTTTCAACATTTATAATAATCAGAAATGTTTTTTGAGCAGCAAATCAGCATCTTAGAATGATTTCTGAAGGATTGTGTGACACTGAAGAAATGATGCTGAAAATTTTAAATATACTGTATAATTCAGACAGAAAACAGTTATTTTAAATAGTACTAATATTCACAATATTACTGTTTTTATGTAAACGTGCACTTCCCTGCTGCCTGCTCTCCTCCGTGGGAGCACCGTTTGTTTGGCAACGCTTTGCAGTTGAGGAAATAGAGGACATTCTTGAACTCGAGCTGTCCTTGGGTTTTCCTGCTAGTGCTTTAGAGGACGTTGTGTCAGAGTGTTGCTTATTTAAGTCCATTTGATGAAGACAAAGGGTACGTCTCCTCACTGAGGCCAGACGGCGGAAAAAGTGCTGAGCAAGAGGGAGACGACTGTATAAATAATGTTGAATGATTCTTGCCACATATCGTACGTGAGGGATCTTACACCACTTTTGAGGGCCATATTATGTAAATAAAAATTGTGACAAAACATGACCAAATCTAAACCATTATGAAGCATTTTGAGTCTGATGTGAAAAATGCAACTGAACACACTTTGAAGTCTCTTCTGCTCACCAAGGTTGCATTTATTTGTTAAAAAATACAGTAAAAACCGTAATATTGTGAAATATTTTTAAGATTTTCTTTTTGAACATTTAAACTACTTTACAGTATTTCTGTGAGAAAAGCTTCAGTGCCACATGATCCTTCAGAAATCTTTTTAATATACTTATTTGCTGCTCAAGAAATATTTATTATTATTATCAATGTTATTCTTATTATTAGTAGTAGTAGTAGTAATATTATTATTATCTATTTTTGTGGAAACCATTAAAAATTTTTGGGAAATCTTTGATTAAATGAAAGTTTAGTTATTTAAAACAGAAATATTTTATAACATTCTAAATATATTTAGGTAAATATTGGGTCATATTTGGTCATAATATCTTTTGGTAAATATAAATCACTTTCGGTCAATTTAATGCATCCTTGCTTAATAAAAAAATATATATATATGAAAAAAGACCACATTTGAACGGTAGTGTACATCTAATTATATCAGATATGTTTGAATATCTGTGCCTAATATCATGTTTTGAGGAAATAGGGTAGCTGAACTACAGCCAGAAAGTGTAAAAATGCATGATTCGGTGCGGATATGGACCGCAGACCACAAATTGTCGACCACAGAGCGCTCTTGAACTCAGAAATTATTAACGGGCCACATTTATTCCGCAGTGCCGCCAGTCGAGGTGCCCTGCTGTACGTTAGCAATACTCAAATCTGGGGAAACCAGGGTGTTCGCATAAACGCTCCAAACGAGTGCAGAACGTGAGGCCAAAGCCTCAAACTCTTCCCCAGAGAGCCGCCAAGTGCATGAAATATGAGTTTTGCAAACAGTCACAGGCTTTCCCGCACCCCCTCAGCTGCTTTGACTATTTATTGATGTATTTTCTCCGGCAGCAGTTCTTGTTATTGCTGCAACGTTGCTAAGAATAGCTTGAATATAAACTCAAGAATGGACCACATGCAGGACCTCACATGGAACTGGAGATCCCAGAGTTAAGCGCTCATCCTCTGCATTGTTCCAGCAGCGTGAGGCCGTGGGGTTTATCAGTGGCCCTGATAGATTCCTGAAGGCTCTCTGCTCTGTAAAAGGACAGCTTGGTGAACTCTCGCTCGAGGAATGCTCACTCCTCACGCACGGGGTCGAATCTCAACTGTTTACTCAAACCAGCCGGTGCTGCTCTGCTGTGTTTAGAGAAAGCTCTCAACTCTCACTGGCGATTGTCCCTGTTACTGTTCTCCTAGTGTACAATGCATGTGAGAATACAGTTATTTATGTGTTAGTCAAGTCACATTTATTTATATAGCACTTCATGCTATACAGTTTGTTTCAAAGCAGCTTCTCATTAATAAACATGAAAAGAGCAGTGTTTATGTTGTAGAATTCATCAAGTGTGAAACAAATTATATTTCAGCTAAAAAGCATCTCTACAAAAGAAAATAGTGTCATTGTTCTGCTCAATTTAGTTCAGTGTTGTTTCAATTCAGTTCAATAGAACACAGTGTTGATGTTGCAAAGTTCATCAATTATTAAAAGTTAAATTCACCTGTCAAGCAGCTCTGTAGAAGATGTGTCATTTTTCAGCTCAGTTTGGTTTGATATTGATTCAATTCAGTTGAATAAATGTTGTGAACTTCATCAGTTATAAAACAAATTAAATTAAATTTTTATTAATCTTAATTCAGAATCAGTGTTGATACCGTTCAGTTAAATAACTATATTTTAAAGTTAATCAATTACTGTATGAAACTAGTTCAATTCAGCTCTAAAGCAGCTCTATTGAAGTAAATTGCATCATTGTTTAGCTCAGCTCAGTTCAGTACTGATTCAGTTCAGCTAAATAACAGTCAATGATGCAAAGTTCATCAGCTACTGTATGAATTGAGTTCAATTCAGCTATAAAGCAGCTTAACAGAACACAATAGTGTCATTATTCATTATTCTGCTCGGTTTAGTTTGATGTTGACTCAGTTCAGTTCAATAACAGTGACAATTTGCAAAGTTCATCAGTTATGAAATGAAGTCAGTTTCAGCTCTACAGAAGACAATAGCATCGTTATTCAGTTTAATTCAGATTCAATGTTGATTCAGTTTAATTCAAAAAGTGTGAATGTTGCAAAGTTCATCAGTTATGAACCAAATATAGTTTCAGCTATAAAACAGCTCTACAGAAGACAATAGTGTCATTATTCAGCTCAATTCAGTTCAAGTTTTGTTCTCATCTGATAGGGTCAGTGCTGTCAGATCAATAATATTATTGAATATTAATTGTTTTTTTAAACCCCATTTTAAAAACTCCAAAAGTTAGTGCATATTTAATTTTCCCCAGTGTGTTAATTATTTTTGATATCTTAAATTAACCATGCATATGTTATACTTCACCAACACTTTTACGTAAAGCCTTGTGCACACTACCCATCCATAGCATGTGCTTCCACAATGCTCTGCTAGTGTGCACACTTGCACACTTGCAGTTCCAATTGATTGCAGATGCTGCAACAAATTTCAAACTTGTTTAAAATCTTGCCGAACAGGTGTGTGCACTGCTTGAAATAGCAAGAGCTAACATAAAAATAAAAACGGGATTTGTTTCACTCCAGCTGAGATCTAAATTGGAGATCTAAACATAATTGTAATGCATATTGAATCCAGCTTGCAAGAGTTTATTTTTTGTCAACAGTAAACCATTTGCATGCCTTCTGTATGTTTGCATGGCAGTCAGTGATTTCATGGGTTTCTTTTGAATGTTTTTTTTTTTCTTTTTTGTATTGTTTTAAGCATAGCTTGGGGAAAACTCTGTGGTTGGTGACTTTCTGCTGGGGTCTCAACAAATTAGTACAGCTTTTGAAGGTTTCAGCTGGTTATTCTCACTGTCATTTGGTGTTTTCTCTGTCTGTTTGGGCTCCAGGAAGAGAAGGGCATTTCCTGTATGCTGGTAGAGCTGGACTTCCTCATGTGCAGCGTTGGATTTCCTTTCATGAGAGCGCAAACCAAGGTAGTATGTCAAATTAACGGCATAATGATTTACTTGGTGATCTAGTTAATTATAGTGCAATTCCATTTAACCTTGTAGTTTTAACCTTTTCTTTTTTCAGTACCATCTATCGGTGCTTTTCGACACGAGTCATCTGTCTGGTGAAAATGAGACGCTGCTATTTTTAGTTCATGCTAGAAGGTGAGCTTTGATCAGTCTCGGTTTAATGAACTTTCCTCTCTTTAAAAATACATGATTTATTTCTATGATTAAAATACACATGGTTCACATCATCAGTCCACATTAGTGAATGTCATTGTTTATATATGAAGCAACTAGATAGATTAGACATTTGGACTTTTCCCTATTTGGCTATTTTGAGAGAAATTAAGTGGTTTGCCTTGATATTGAGGTCATGATGATATTAATCTAATGCTGGCCAGATGTGTTTTCTTTGCTTAGAGATCTCTTAGCTCTCTGTGAGGCAAATGCAGCTCTCATAATGCACATCTTACAGTATAAACTTAATCAATTACACTGTACGAACAACCATGCTAAAGACACATGGCATGTCAGTACCTATACTACTGTTCAAAAGTGTGGGGTCAGTAAGATTATTAAATGCTTTTGAAAGAAGTCTCTTCTGCTGACAAAGGCTGCATTTATTTGATCAAAAATACAGAAAAAATAATAATATTGTGAAATATTTGTACAATTTCAAATAACTGTTTTCTATTTTAATATATTGTAAAATGTAATTTATTCCTGTGATGCAAAGCTGAATTTTCAGCATCATTACTCCAGTCTTCAGTGTCACATGATCCTTCAGAAATCATTCTAATATGCTGATTTGCTGCTCAAGAAACATTTCTGATTATTATCAATGTTGAAAACAGTTGTGCTGCTTATTATATTTTGTGGAAACCATGACATATTTTTTTTAGCATTCTTTGATGAATAGAAAGTTCAAAAGAACAGCATTTATTTCAACGTTATAAATGTCTTAACTGTCACTTTTGATCAATTTAATGCATCCTTGCTCAGTGATTTATATGTTATTTGAAAACCTTTTTTAAATAAATGAATGACTAATGACTTAATAAATTCAAAATAAATTGTTTTTGTTATTATTTATTAATATTTTCATTTTTCTTTTTTTTTAGTGCCAATCCAGAACATGATAGCACACTTCATGATAACACATTGGAGTTGTCCATACCGCTGGTACATGAGGTGGACACAACAATCACAGGGTAAGATTTACACTTCATGAGACGGCTTAAAGAAAACCTCCAACCAAAAATTTTAATTCATCATTATTTATTCACCTTCATGTTCAAAACTACAAAAAAGACCTTAAAAGTAGTCTTTATGACTTGTGCACTATATTTCAAGTCTTCTGAAGCCTGATTATCAAAAATAAACACTTTCATTGAATGCATAACATCTTTGGTGCTTCATAAGAAAATCAGTTCATACAGGTTTTTAACATGAGGGTAAGTACATAATAAAAGAGTTTTCTTTTCATTTTTTTGGTAGACTATTCCTGTAACAGCTTTGCAGCCCATTACACTTCCAGACGTCTGATAGCACCAGAAACATCTGCGGTCCGCTCAGTATACAGTGCTTACGTGCACATTTCTTTTTTGGCACCAATTTCTTTGCGGCGCTGGAGTATTTCAAAGTTACAGGCTCACTTGTTTTGCAGATGAATGAGGCTTAAATACACAACATGTTCTACAGCAAGATGTACAGGCTGATGATGAGAACGTCCTCCCTGTAATGTTTTAGATGAGCGTGCTAGAGGCTACACTTTAATATATAAACATGATCTCCAGGGGTTGGATGTAAAATCAGATCAAAGTCTGTTTTATGTCATTTAACAAGTTAACTTCATACGTATTAGATGGTTTCTGTAATCAGTATGTGAATATAAAGAATGTATTTAGTACATATGTGACCCTAGAGCACAAAACCAGTCTTAAGTCGCTGGGGTATATTTGTAGCAATAGCCAAAAATACATTGTACGGGTCAAAATTATCGATTTTTCTTTTATGCCAAAAATCATTAGGATGTTAAGTAAAGATCATGTTCCATGAAGATAATCTCGGCCAAATATTGTCCTATCATAAACCATACATCAATGGAATGCTTATTTATGATGTATAAATCTCAATTTCGAAAATGTACGCTTATGACTGGTTTTGTGGTCCAGGGTCGCATATAGACAAACCTATGCAACACTCCACAGACACATGGACTAGTTTCCAAGAGTTTGAGCTATAAAAGCTGCAATGTTTTACTAAAATAAAGTAATTCTGACAGCAGCACATGTATTCTATATTATACTGTACATCAAATGAATCACGTTAAGTGAGAGATAGAACAATATAGCACAATGAAAGTTTGCCATAGTAACTGTAAGTCCTTTTCTACAGTGTGGTCACGCCTACGTCTTTTGTGTATGGGAACTCAGTGGACCGATCACGCTTCCTTCAGCTGGACGACATGGAATGCAGCTTTCAGCCGCTCAACTTCACCTTTCAGGTATCCCACACTGCAATATGTTCATATGCACTTCAGATGTGATGTTTTTCAGTACATTTTATTGCAGAATCTGTAAATTAATAGAGTTAGCTGGTTATTAAACCCCTGACAGGGTATCTTATTTATTTATTTATTCATGAGCACTAGCAATATCAGGGGATCAATTACTTGGTAAAAAAAAAGTAATATATAGTTTATATAGTTTAATATATATATCCGGCAGCCATATCACCCTGTAGCCCAAGACTGGTTACCCACTGAAGCTAAGCAGGGCTGAGCCTGGTCAGTACCTGGATGGGAGACCTCCTGGGAAAACTAGGTTGCTGCTGGAAGAGGTGTTAGTGAGGCCAGCAGGGGGTGCTCGTGTTTAATATTTTAATTGTTTCGTGTCATTGATATACTACTATAGTTTTTATTCATATTTTGAATTAGGTTTTATATATATATATATATATATATATATTCTGTTTTAATTTTGTTGTGTTTTTTGTCATTTTTCTTAGTTTTCCTATATAGGTTTTACTCATTTTTATTTCAGTTTTAGTTATTTTAGCACATCAAGTTAAAATAAATGAAAATGAGGACTGTTGCTTTGGCAGCTAGTTGGAATAAAATAAGTTTTAGTTTTTTATATATTACTTTATTTCAGTTAAAGTTTATTTTATTTCAAGTAGAGAAAGTTTTTATACCATAATAAACCTGCTTTAAATTACAGAAAACTACAGGCTTGTTGAGGCTTAATTGGGGGCATAAGTAAAGACTTTTAGGAATTGTTTTAGGGACAAAACACTTGGGAAATGTCTTGATGTAAACAAGTAGTAATCATGGTATGAGCTAAATAATTGATGCTGGATTGTAGTATTATTGAAAATGTTTCATTATTGCATTATTGAAAGGCTTCACATTATGCCTGTATTATATACATTTTTTAATAATTCAGTGTCAAGTCAAGTCACCTTTATTCATATAGCACTTTATAAAATACAGAGCAGCACTAAAATGACAACAGTTATTATCCAGTTCATTGTTGATTCAGTTTGATTCAATAACTGTGTAAAGTTCATCAATTATGGAATGAGTTCAATTAATGTATAAAGCAGGTTTGGAGAAAACAGAGATGCCATCATCCAGCTCAGTTCAGTTCTCATCCAATAGTGCATTTATGTCACTTCATTGTCCCCCAGCTAAAGAAACCAAAAGGACCAATATCTGACTTCAAAATGTCACATTTGACAAATCCAGAACCAAGCTGCATTATAATGTGTTTTAAATGTATATGAAGTGTACTGTCTGCTCTATTAGCTGTTAGTTAGTGTTGAGCGTAAATCCCAGCGTTGATCTGTTTCCTGTGTGTTGTTTGTGTAGGTGATAAACAATGGGCCCAGCAGACTTCCAGGCTCCACGGTGGACATCAGGATACCCAACCGCCTGACTGGTAACGGAGCAGATATGTTCCATATCATTGACACACAAGTGAGTTCCTGCCACTCATGCGCTTGTTTATGTAGCTAGACTTCATTCTCATCGTTTTCCCTCACATCAGTTATACAGCTGTCCATTCTCATCACACTTGTTTGTGCTGTAAGTGGTTTCTACGACCTGTTCATGCTAGGTATTATTGGGTGTTATTTTGCGTTACACCACAGCATTGTTGTTTTTTGATTGGTTGACAGTCTTAGAGCTTGAATAATTTCCATATCAATTCAGCATGTTCTTTCTAAGCTAGTAATATGCTATTTTAAGCAAGATACTCACTGTACTTTTAGAGCTGCATGATTTGGGGGGGAAAATTTAATTGTGAAATCTAATTTCTCTGATAAAAATTGTTATTGCAAAATATTGATTTATTTATTTGTTTATTTATTTATTTTACTTTGTTTTTTATTTATAGAATTGTTAAAGCAGCAGGTTTGCTGTGCTAGTAGGGCTGCACAATTTGGCCAACAACTTTGTTATTATATATCAATATGACAATGAATATTATTATTATTATTATAAATAAACAAAATAAGAAATATTAATGATAATATTTCAGTGTAAAATAAAAAAAATAGTATGTAAGAAATATAATAATAATAATAATAATAATAGTATTTTTATTGTTCAATACAACTATAAAATTACAATATAATATATAAAATTACAATACAATAATATTTGTGGCTGTCTTAATTTCTTCATTTTCAAACATTAAAACATCAAGCTTTTATTTTGGCAGAAAACTGCAGCTTCTGTTTTGTTGACAACAGGTTTATTATCGCATCTCATTGGACTGTTGGTGCATGTTGTGTTGCCAAACGCATGTTATAAACTTAAACGTTTTAAACCCAAACTCCCAGTGTGTGCAGAGATCAGTTAATGTAGCATTTACTGTGAATTAATGAAAATTACCACAAAATTATGCTTCATAGCTGCATTGCAACCTTAGGGTGCATTGGTTTGCAACAATTTCACGGCCCTGTCATCAATTATTCCTTATAATTTTGCTACGTAATTTCCAAACAAACACATTTGAAATGATGCCACAGGCTTGTCGAGGGTTAATTGGCAAAGTAAATAAGTACTTTGAGCATTTTAGAGACAAAACTTGTCTTCGTAATCATGGTATATAAGTGGAGTAATTGAAGCTAGATTGGTGCATTATTAAAAATGTAAGGCTTCACATTATGCCTGTGTTACATGCATTAAGTTTTCAATAATTATATGGTCCAATGTCAATTATGTCTTACTTATATTACCTTTAAAACATTGTTTCTACTTAAGGTTAAGTATAAGATTACATTATTTAAAGTACTTTATAAATGCCACAATTGTTGCATGTTTTGAAGCTAAATATACAGAGCTAGGCATTATCTATATTATATCAATAGAAGCGAGGGCAGCGTGTTGATTATGTTCTGTTCTCATACAGTGAGAGTTCAGTGAGGTCAACATCCTCAGGCTTATAATGAATTCAGAGGTGAGAGATGGGTTTAGGTAGTTAAACGCACAATAAACTAATACAGAGGGTAGAAATTCAAGACCAGCACCACATACTATGTTGATTTAACCCTTGCATCGGCCATATTGCAAGATCAGGCCAGGGATCAACCTGTTTACTGTGAATGGGAGGACGGGGGAGGTTTGTATCCCACCCTGTACGTCTCATATGGAATCACTTACGAGAGGATTAAATGGTTTGCACGAAAGGGTGGAATGGGACACTTGGGGAAAGTTTCTGTTCACCCTGACTAACCTGCAGCACAATGGCAATACCGGTTAACTCTACTCAAGGAGGAGCGAAGGTTCCCAGGCACCCACATGGACAGCATAAACACTCGGCCTAATTAAAAATGCACACGTGGAGGAATTCCTCTCCTCACATGACTGAAAACATATGGGGCATTTATACATAAACAGCTTGGGCTGGTCCCTCGATGCTGATGAGATGTCTTAAATTAGAAAGGGTTATGTGACATCAGCTTTGTTAAAAAACAAAACCTTAATGAGCTGCCTTCCAAACACACTTTAACCCTCATTTTGTGTTCAGATCAATTTGACCCACATTTAAACAGCTCGAAACACTAATTAAAGGGTCATGAAACCCCCCCGTTTCAGCACTGGTTAGTTCTCACCACAGTTTTAAAAAATGCTAAAAAAGTGGGCGTGGTGCGCAGTGGAGCGGTGGTGGAAGAGGAGAGACAGACAACACACACAGCTTCGCATTCAGACAGTTTCATTTCGCTCCCATCGAATTAAAAACACAAATAAATGCACAGCCATTTGCACTCTGCAATGAAAACATATATATGAACGTGCTGTTGCACCTCTGAGAACTTTTAAGGCTTATTCTGTGGCGTTTATATTAGCCTTTTGACGAATTGTCACAGAGCTGTAAAAACGGTTATGCTCACCAAGTGAATGAATCGCGTTTGTGCCGAACTCTTATTACAAAGCAAAAACAAACACACTCCTCCGATCCATGAACGTTTCTCTCAGTTAATGTGCGCGATCTCACAGTCTGTCATAGCAAATCCGCACATGCTGTTGTGAATAATTAAGCGAAGTGTCTTCTCATAGGATAAGAACACGCAGTCTCATGAATAATTTAATAGACACCAACGCGTCATCGATGTATTATAGTCCTTTGCCATGTCACAAATTGTGACGTCAACACAATGTAGATTTTAAACCCGGAAGATGAAAATAGCACAAAAAAGTTTAAAATTAACCAGTTTTCGCCAACAGTTAAAATTATCGGATGCTAACATTGTCTTCTATGATGTGCAACACAAACACCTCTGCTAAAATCTCAGAAAAAAGTAGTCTGGGGTTTCATGACCCTTTAAAGTATTTCTTCTTGAAATTTGGTGACTTTTTCCTCATTTAGGGTCATGAATGTGCATGCAAAGTTTTGACACATAAACGTGTTTTGGAAAGTACGAATTTTGTGCCCACAATCAAATTGACCCCTGTTGGTTTCTATGCAATTCGCCAAAAATCAACACTTTGAAAAACAGAAAAACCTTTATAGTAGCATAGACTAAAATATTCAATATATATTTTATCATTTGGGTTAATTTGACTCTTAAAACCAACAAAAAAAACGCTTTTCCGTAGTGCATGATTTGTAAACTAATACATTATGAGGTTTGCATCACATAACCAGCTTCATATCCATGGCTTTTCTGACATAGTAAACTTACTCAGTAGCTCACCTGGTACAGCATTACACGATAAAAGAGCTCAAAAACTTGTAAAAGCAAGCTAAAATGGCATGGTTGCTTCAGTAAAATGTGTTTTAATCTCACGTTTGTATTAGGTTTAGGATAGGGTTTAGTGTAGCTTTTAGCACCACACTCACCAGATATTTAGTTTCCAAACTGCCACCATATGTACATAATAAAACATTGCCAGATTCGTGTTTATCTGTTTCCTGGAAAATTGCAAGCAGTTTTAGTGCCACTCCCCAGACATTTCACATTTTAGTCTGAAAGCAAAAGATGCAAGAAATAATGTAATATCACTTTGCAGAAGTGTTTTTCCAATGTGCCTGAGTTTATATTTCTTAAAACTAGGGATATGCCGGTATCAAATTTTCATGTTGCGATTAATTGCTAATGCTTTTATCACGGTATGCGGTATTATCACGATGTTGAAATTTAGTTTAAAAAAGTGCTGTCATAATACAGTATAACAGGTTTAATAAAATTTTTCTTATAACAAAAATAACTGAACATTTAAATGAAATAAAGCGACACAGAAAAATTTATAAAGTTAAAAGTTTTACACAGATTAAAGTGCAAAAGAATAGGTATCACTTTACCAATAGGTATCAATACAATAAGACCTCATTAGTTAACCTTAGTTAATGCATTAACATTCACAATGAGCAATAGCTACATTTGCTAAAGAAGTTATTAATCTTTGTTTAAAAAATACAAGTCTTAGTTCATGTTAGCTCATTAAATAACACAGTTGCAACTTTAGATTTTAACAACATGTGCTTCTCGTCCGCGCTTGTTTACATCAGAGTGCGCACGCATCTTTCATGCAGCATACGGCGGTGTTGTGCATTTTGACCAGTTTATGGGAAAAGTATTCTTAAAATGCATTCAAAATTCTGAATAATTTGTAATATATAATTATTCACGGTATTTAGAAGTGCCCACGATAACAATATCGTGCATATTCATTACCGTGATATATCGCATTACCGAATACCGGCACAAGTCTACTTAAAACACTATCTAGGGAGGCAAGTCGCTAGGTTTTAAAACAGTACTGTAGTGAAATCAGCCCATGAATGACTTTGACTAGTGTACTTGTAAAATCATGCGTGAAACAGGCAGAGATCCTTCCTTTGACTTGAGAGAAGACAATGTGAGGTCTTCAGATGCTTTCCTCTATGGAGGTCTGACTGGAAAGGATGCTGGTTAAAGGAAGAGGTGAAGTGTTCCCCGGGGGCAGAGGGGAGGAAGGGGCAGCGGGACATTAAATCACTCCAGATGGGACATGCTGTCAGAGAAAGGCTTCCCAACTCCCGCTGGGAAAGAACTTCCTTTCGTTATCTGAATTGCTTAGCAGGTCTGAGCTCACTGGATAAATGATAATGTCTGTGAGCATCTCAGCACATCAGCTTCCAGTCGTCATGTACTTAATGTTTTTAGTGAAACATTTTTACACTTAAAAAATGAGGCATTAAGTCATATTTAGGGTTGCAAAGGGGTGGAAAATTTCCGGTAAATTTCCGGAAACTTTCCAAAAATCCCTGGAATATTCCAAAAAATCCTGAAATGTTTCCAAAATTTCTGGAATATTTCCAAAATGTATTGGAAATTTTCCACCTTTTTGCAACCCTAGTCATATTGAGTCATAATCAAAAGTATTGATTATGAACTTTGTAAGGGAAAACATTTAAGTAGATTTGAATAACTTTAAGAAAAAGTTAAGGCAACTCAAATATTTGAGTAAGCCAGTTTAAAAACAATATTTATAATAATACTTCAGTAAACTTTTTTTCATTTGAATTCACTAAATATTGCAACTAACTATTAGTCAAGTCAAATCACCTTTATTTTTATAGCACTTTATACGATACAGACTGTTTCAAAGCAGCTTGACAGTATTAAACAGAAAAGTAAAATTAATGACGCATACTTTAACAATGAGGCAAATCCAAAATTCTGTTATAAAGCAGCTGTAGCAGGATAACTTTTAGCACACATGCACACACAAAATAACACTTATTTTCAACATTTACTCACATTTACTTACATTATACACTCTGTATCAAACCATGCTGGAAAAATCTGACTTCCCTCTCTTTGCATGTGATTGTTAATCATTGCCAACTTCTTAAGTTGTTGTTATAAAATAAAGAATACTGATAAGGAATGAGTAATAATTTTAGTTCTTAAAACTGATCAGTATAATTTATCCAGTACTCAAATAATTACGATTGAAGTCAGGGTTATTATAATAAACTAAAACTGAAATTAAAACCCATAAAAAAATATTTACAGCTAGTTACCAAGGCAACATTCTCATTTGGATTTAGTTTAGCTTGATGTACTAAAATAACTAAAAATAAAACCAAAATAAATAATTATGAAAACTATATAGACATATTTAAAAAAAAATAAAAATAAAGACAACAAAATTCATAAAACTTTAATTGGAATTAAAATGAAAACTGAAAATATAAAGATAAAAACTATAGTATCTCAATAACACTAAAATAATGCTCATTGAAATGTGTGTTAATCATTCAGTTTGTTAGTTAAATACTAATGTACTAATGTTGTTGTTCTTTTTTATGAGTAAGTGCAGTAAACAAGTCTGTGATGGAATCAGGTGATATTTAGCCGAGAAAGAGCTGTGAGATTCACTCATTTTCTTGTTTTCTGTTTGTCTGCAGGTATCTGAAGGTCGAGGGAACTGCACGTGGCACAGGAACCCCAAACCCTGCACAATTCCTCAGGACAAGGAGAGCATCTTCCACACCATTTTTGCTTTCTTCACCAAATCAGGCAGAAAAGTTCTGGTATGACAAAGCACTTATTGTTCATAGTTCAGAGGAAAAAGCACAATGTGTGAAAATGGCATTAAAATGCATTTAGCACTTGGAAATAAGCCATATTTGCATATTTAATGTTGTTTGCCTGGCATTTTTGTCAATGCATGTACATTAGTGCAGTGGATCACAGCATTTAATGCCCCATAAAACAGGAGGTTTTGTGCTGAAGGGGTGAATCTTATTCTGGTATCCTGTGTCAACAGGACTGTGACCGGCCTGGCAGAGCGTGTCTTACTATTTCCTGCAGTCTGAGCTCTCAGGCTAAAGAAGAAGCCACGAACATAGATGTGCAAATGCTACTGAACACTGAAATACTACAGAGGGTGAGTTATTGCTGTAATGAAGTACAAAGTTATTGAAGTGTCAATGCAAGTCTTCAGAGTGTGTGATTAAGACTTTAAGTGCAACAAGCTACTAAACTAGTTAAAATACTGCCAGGCTAGCCTTGGTAATAGCTTAAACTAATTAGCTAACTAATTATCAGCTGTTTACCTACAGTATCAGTCAACCGGCAACCTTTAGTTAAATAAAAAGTAGCTAGCTACATGACAAGCTACTGACAAACATAAGTTGATGAACTACATTGAGGCTAATAAGCAGCAATATATATTATTATAAATATTTATCTGGCACAAATCCCATAAGGATCTCATTTATTGTGACAGATCAGTCAAACTTCAACATATAAATTTACACTACATTTAACTAATAAAACAAATAAAAACACCCCTATTTTTATAACCTAATCAAAAAGTGATAAACAACAGTGTTGAACAAGATATTTTACTACTACAAATGTCACAAAATACTACTCGGTAGTAATGGAAACGATTAAACATTGTTTTAGAATATTTGAAATAAAGCTGAAATAAAATGAAATATAAATATTAAAGGGGTGGTTCATTGCGATTTCACTTTTTTAAATGTTAGTTAGTGTGTAATGTTGCTGTTTGAGCATAAATCTGTCTCAGTGTTATTTTATTATCATTGAGATACTATTATAGTTTTTCATTTTAATTTTAGTTTAAGGTTTAGTCATTTTGGTAGCTTTATTAGTTTAGTAATTTTGTTGTGTTTTGTCATTTTTAGTAGTTTTATTTTTATTCATTGCGATTTAAGTTTTAGTTATTTTATTACATTAAGTTAAACTAAAATAAAGGGAGAAATGTTGCCTTGGCAGCTATCTGAAATAAAACGTTTTTTATACTTTAATTTATTTCAGTGAATGTTTTATTTTATGTAATAACATTTTTTAAGTGGTTTAATTTTAAGTTTTGGTTTTAAGTATAATAACTCTGGTCTGTCTTGGTGTGTGGTTTGCAGGACAGCTCCTCTGTGATCCAGTTTGTGACACGAGGTCACGTCCAGCTGGACGACAGGGCCGTGGAGGTCTCAACCGGCCTTCCAGAGGAGATTTCTGTAAGTGATCAAACACATGAATAATCCAATCCAACAGTCAACAGTACCATTACTGTAAACTAGACTCAGAGCTTCAGAGACTTCATCTGACATGCTGGTGGTTTTCATTGTAAGATTGAAAGCGGTCAGGACCCCTGATGCACGGAAGAAAATGAAATTGTCCGATCGCATGATTCTGAGTTCATCGGCTCGTAGTAGCCACCGACATCTGGGTCGAGTTTGCTGTTCATATGGGAGCAGGGGTCTTTTTTTACTCTACAGCTGTGCTCGAGAACAGTCACCTCTAATACTGCAGACCTCGGCGTGCCGATTGATTAGAGGAATATGGGACTGTGTTTCGGTGTCTGGTGCCATGGTACTCGCTCAGCCCTGCTCTCAGCTGATTGGGTTTCTGACCCAGTTTCAGCCACCCATTTGTAGCATAGAGGCCAATTCCTAATAGGGCTGTTAAAAGTGTCTGCGCCCCCTTCTGCCCTCAGCACTTAGGAAATGCATCGGTCCCAAAGCAATCCGTTATTAAGTCACACACGACGCTCCCTGGGGCAAACGTTGGACACGCAACTCTCATTTACAAAAGGCATTGCCCACATTTAAGCATTAATACCGCACAGTCTTGTAGCGTGTTTCAACTGTATCGTTTCCATCATGTTCACAGCAACTTGAACTAATTGGAAATGACAGACCAACTGTGAGCATTAAACCTTTATATGCTGCTGTATCATTAGTTTAGTCAGCTGAACTCAACAAATGCTCGAGATATATTTAGTGCAATATTTATATCTTACACTTTAGTTTCCATTGAATACAAATAAGTCTGATCATAGAGAAATGTTTATCCCAAAGACGGCACACAGAGGAATATATCACAGCTCTTTTATAGTTTTCATTGCTGATGTTAGTATCTTGCATTGTTTTTATTTTTTAACTAAAACTAAAACAATTAAAAGTCAAAAGATTTTGCCTTGGCAACTAACTGAAATAAAATAGGTTTAGGCTTAAGTACTAAAATTACTCAAACTAAAACCATTAAAAATAAATTAAAGCTAAATAAATAGAACCCCCAAAACTATAAAAAATTACATAGAATATAGAACTGAGATCATCTGATATTAATAGAATTTGATGAAAAATATTTCAATTCATATCGAGATTTTTGAGATTTCATTGCTCAAGTTAATATATTGCATTTTCTTATTTGTAACTCAAACTAAAACTAGTAAAAGTAAATTTTGTTAAGTGAAATGAAGCTGAAATAAAATGTAAATACAAAAAAGAAAAAGTAAGACAACTTGTTATCTATCTGAAATTAAATAAGTTCAGGTTTAAGTACTAAAACTGATCAAACTAAAACAAATAAGAATAAAGCTAATAGAAATGTTAAAGAATTCCTAAATAGAAATGTTAAATACTAACGAAAATGACAAAAGTATATAAAAAAATATTTTAAAAAAATAAACATCTTATCAAATATAATAGTAAATAATACTAAAATAACACTGGTATTTTGGCAACTGAGCAGTTTCAGGTCTCTTCTCAACTAAACTTCATCAAAAGTCTTATTTGTATCTCATTACTGTTTCAAAGAAACAACCGAGACATTATCTCTCATTCGTGATTTTGATTGAATGTGTTTTTTCCGTCGACCCTCACGTTCAAGAAGTGAAACTGTGGCCAGAAGCTGAAGCCAGACTGGGACTGGGATTTTCTGCTAGCTTTTCATGCGACATTTCCATCCAGATCCATTGAGGGAACTGTTCGCTGTGTTTTTGTGGCAGTACATTATGGTTTCAGAGGTGAAATTCTTCCACATTTAAGGGTCAGCGAGCACGTATGCCATATAACACATATTGTGCATGAAACTATGTGTATGTATGTTATTCAGAGGCAATCCAGCGGTCATCCATGGTTAAAACAGACTTCACATAATGACGTCCAGTCCAGTAAACAAATGAACTCCTCCTGGCATTCTGTGATGATCTGGATTAATGAAAACCTTCACAGACCTGTGTTTGATTGATTTGTTGACTTGAAGAATGAAATCTCATTTCCTTTGGATCGAGTCAACACCCAATATTCTGTAGACTCAGCACAGACGTTATAAAATTCAGGAAATGACACGGTGATTCATAGTCTGTAAAGTCTGATCTTGGGTCCCGCTGAGAAATGACTATCTGTAATATGTTTATTTAAGTCGGTGATGTTATGCTGAATGTCGTGTCCCGTCTGGTTCGTGTGTGTATGTTCACTCTCTCTGTGTTGTCCTGCAGCTGGTGTTTGAGGCCCTTCACAGTCAGGAGCCCAGGGGTTACGTGGTGGGATGGATCATCGCCATCAGCCTCCTCGTGGGAATCCTCATCTTCCTGCTGCTGGCGGTGCTGCTCTGGAAGGTAGCGCTTCAGACAAACACATGTTTCTCAGTCAACATCCTTGTTGGTTCTGGAGCAGCGTCCGGGTTTGCTCTGGATTTAGGGGCTTAAACAACATTCTTATAAACCTAGATTTAGGGTTGGCAAGAGTGCAGCGACCATTATAATACGTTTATAAATGTCACCACCCACACTTTTTGGGAAATAATCATTATATTTTGAGCGTTCCGGTCACTGTACAATGAAAAAATAGGAGCCGTCCACAGACTGTAAAACAACGACTTTAAGACCAAGCAGAAGCAATATGGATGTTTATCAAAAAATAAATAAAAATCCACAATATCAAGAATGAATTTTGGAGTAATTTTCGACATTCGTGATAGAAACGATGACAGACACGTTACTATTTTATAAGATTTACTTTTCAAAGTAATAATATATTTATATGTTTTATATGTGTGTTATATATTATATAATAACATAAAAGTACATTTTACTATAAAATATTAAGATAGTTCTGTCAAAATGTCTTCAATTTACATAATCAATAAAGTCATAGTAGTAGAAATGGTAATAATATGAATAATAATAATTATTAGTATTATTACTACCACTACTATTAAATCCTTGCACTTTGTCATTATCATTATTATTACTTTGAGAATAATTATTATTATTTTAAGGGTTATCATATAACAAAGATATTTTTCATCCATGTTTTCACAATTTAAATTAAAAATGTAAACAATTAAAAAATATATATTAGACAAAAAAAAATGCAATGGTGTGCTGTGAACTTACTGATATATTTTCAGTTGATTATATTTGTAAATGTAACATTTTTTGAAAAAAAAAAAAAAAAAAAGTTGTATGAATTTATTTCAGATAAATTTGTTTTAAATCACAAATTACAGAATCCAGATAGCTAGATAGACAGACAGACAGACAGAATTGGTGAAAAAAATTAAAATTAAAAGGTAGCTTCTCTGTAGAGTTTAGCTGTAAACAAAGAAGTTTTTACATTCACTCTTGAGGTCTAACAAACATGTGGAAAGCATTTCCTTCCTCATTAATGACATATTTAAAAATGTTTAAACATCAATATCACATGATATGAAAACATGTATATTGTTATACTATTACTGCCATACTACTCATGAGCTTGGCTGAAAAGGTTTTTAATGTGCACCACACACTTTTCAGATCATTCCTAATGCCTTGAGGATTGAGATCATGAGCTTAAACAACATGATCAACTTGTCATTTCTCACTGATTTTAGGATTAGGGTCATATTTAAGGATGATTGCTTGATAGAAACATTATTCCAGAACCAACAGAAAATATTGAACCATGCAAATATACATCAGACTTTCTACTAGATATCCGTCCTCACAGACTTCCAGATGAGGCTGTTTGCTTGTCTTTTCTCATGAGACCGAGTTCAAATCACATGCCTGAGACGGTTCCTGTTAGACAGCAGTTCAGCTCAGCAAAGTCAGTGTGAGCGGAGAATGTGACCCGTCTTGAAAGAGCAGAACCACCTGCTCGTGTGCAGCGTCCCGTTACAGCTAAATTAGCATCGGGCTGCTTTTAATATCCTCTGCCAAAAAAAAAGGCAGAGTAAGGCGGATGCGGATGAATTGTTTTGTTTGAAATAAACAGTTCTTACAGTACATTAGTGCATGAACATAAAAAGAAACAATGAAATGATGCAGCTTTGAATTAGTGCTCTGATGGTAGTCCAGTTTTGAAAGATATTCCCTCAACTGGACTCGTCTCGAGTCACATGTCCCTCATTCACACACTACTGTTGTTTTTCTTGGCCTGAGGGGTCAATAGAGAGCTTTCGTAAAGTAACAAAACACAGCGCCGACAATAATCTACACGTACACATAAAAGTGAACCGAACGGATTTCAAGGCTTCTCAAACAAGTCCTTCTTTTCCTTTCCACTCCATTACTTTCCAGCGGGAATACTAGAGCAAATCCTGGAATGTTGGTGTAGGGATACTTATCCCCCCAAATCCCAAATCTGCCAAAATAAACTTCCTCAACAAGAGCTGGACATGTCCAGCTACTCCAGCGTCAGGAAATGCCTGGAGAGAGCCGGGGTCTGAATCAATAAACCGCATTCAAACAAAGACAAACCTGTTGAGTCACAGGAAGAGGAACAGCACATTTCCTGCGCTGACGCTCTTCTTTACAGTAGCGCTGTGTCGCCCATCCCACTAGTTATCTGACTCCCACCCTGTCCATTGGCTCCAACTTCACAAAGGGATAGTTCACCCAAAAATGACATCATTTACTCGCTCCTTTGTTGCTCCGAATCTGTGTGACTTTCTTTCTTCTGCGAAACACTAAAGAAGCTCAGAGCCAGTGTTTTCAATACAATGAAAAGCACCATATTCACTATACGTTCCAAATTTTCTCAAGTCGTATGATAACCTTGTGTGTGTGGCAAACTAAAATATTTTAGCATTAAATCTCCTTCGCTGTAGCTCAAATTTCATTCGTATTTGAACATATTCAGACATTCAATCCAGACATCAATTACACCTAATAACTTTAGTAATGTGAAGTTAGAGGATGTATAAATATTTTTGGATACCTATATGATATGATAAAGCATTCCTCTTACAGTTTGAATATCATCAGTCATGAGGGGTTTCATAATGAAACCTTAACTTGTTTTGGGTCAAGGCCCCAAAAATGGGTGGTATTTTCATATACTCTTTTTAATTTGATTAAATAGATGTTTTAATGGCCATATGTCTGACAGCAGGATTGCATTAGGTTGGGTGTATCTGATCTGCCAGTCAAAGTCAAAGAAGTCTCTTCTGCTCATCAAGACTGCATTTATTTGATCAAAAATAAAGTAAAATTGTTAAATGTTATTGCAATTTAAAATAACTGTTTTCTATTGTAATAGATTTTAAAGGGGTCCTATTATGCTCTTTTACAAAGTCTTGATTTTGTTTTGGGGGTGTACTAGAGCATGCCCTCATGCTTAGTGGTTCGAAAAACGTATTATTTTTCACATAATTTACATTATTAAAGTCCCTTTCTCCCCCGCCTGGCACAAACGACTCGATTAGTTCCGGCTTTGATGAAGGTCCGCCTTCCGAAAAATAAAATGTATTGCGATTGGTTAACTGTCCCAGTGCGTTGTGATTGGCGAACAGCTTAGACAGTGTTTCATTACTGCCACGCCCCTTACTCCGTCTTTCAACAAAAGCTTTTGGCGAATCCGGCACTGTACTCCCTCGTGTTGTGGAAGCTGTCCTCAGTAAAATGTGCATGAAAACAGTTATGCTACTTTGACACATTTTTTCAGGATTATTAGAGGATAGAAAGTTCAAAAGAAGTTCATTTAAATAGACACACCTTTACTGTCATTTTTAAAAATTTAAAGAATTCTGAATATAAATATTAATTTCTTTAAAAATATATTTTTGACCCCACACTTTTTGTATTTTGTAACAGCAAGGTAACGTGTGATTGGAAAAAGGAATATCATTTTGTCATTTGTCCACTGTCCCACCCTGTATGCCGACACGCAGCAATTATGTTTGTGTTTTGCAGATGGGATTCTTCAGGAGGCATTACAGAGAGATCATAGAGGCCGAAAAGAACAGAAAGGACAGCGATGAAAGCTGGGATTGGGTCCAGAAGAGCCAATGAGAGCTTGGATTGGGTTCAGAAAATCCAATACCCCGGCTCTCTCCAAAGACCCAGACCCTCCAGCCTTCCATATGTGGAAGAAAAGAATATTCTCCAGATTTTTCGGAGGTTTGACACTTTTTGTTTGTCGTTGATGGTGATCTAGCTGATGTTGGAGGTGACCGTGTGGCCTGCCAGAAGAGACTCGCAGTGGAATTCCACTGATCCCAATGGGACAGGCCTCTTGCCAGTGGGTCTGAAGAGACGGAAAGAGAGACTTCCTGGAACGAATGTGGATATCGTGTCAATACTAGCAGACAATTACAACCCTCAGGGCGCTGTTGAAAAGCAAAAATCTATTTTTTATAAAATGTATTCCATACTGTATAGAAGAGAGCTTCAAGAGTTGTCTTTAAAGCACTGATGACTGACACACGCCAAAGAGTTGATGTTATTCCTTCACAGTGTTCTGGTGCACATCAGTTCTCAGATGAACCTTGAAGATGGATTGTACCTCTTTGTCCCCTCAAGATGTTAACTTACAAAGAATGCAAAGCAAAAGTTTGTGTCCTTCATTCAGACGACTCCCGAGTTAAATGTTGCATGAACAAATGAAAGAGGAGATGCAAACCAAAGTTGTTATTGCTCGAGTTGTTAAAAGAGTAGTTCACCTCAAAATGAATGCTTGCTGAAAATGCACTCATCCTCAGGCCATCCAAGATGTAGATGAATTTGTTTCTTCATCAGAACAGATTTGGAGAAATGAAGCATTACATCTCTTGCTCAGCAATGGATGCTCTGCAGTGAATGGGTGCCGTCAGAATGAGAGTCCAAACAGCTGATAAAAACATCACAGTAATCCACACCACTCCATTAAAAGTTAAAATGCCTTGATTAATTTTTTTAATTTACAAATGCAGCTTTTCACTTCACAAGACTGGAGTGGTGTGGATTACTTGTGATGTTTTTATCAGCTGTTTGGACTCTCATTATGACGGCACCCATTCACTGCAGAGGATCCATTGCTGAGCATCTGTTCCCATAAAGACACAATCTCATCTACATCTTGGATGGCCTGAGGATGAGTACATTTTCAGACAGTTTTCATTTCATTTCAGTCCAGTTAAAACAGAAAGAGAAAACCATATACGTTCTCAGATTAAACACGCTTTATTTAGTATATGTGAAATTCACAGCTTAGAGCATTATTTGTACTGCACTGGATTTTGACCCCACTGAAAGATGCATGTTATTCCAAAAGAAAAGATTCTGTCTTCTTAATCTTTCACAAAATATATGAACTTTTACTGACTTTTTTGTATTCCTTTCCAACCACCTGTAAATTAGAAGCTGTTCACAATCTAATCAATTCCTTGCGTAGTGACGTTAAAAGTTCAGATTTAAGAGCTGCATTGTCGGCTGACGTCTCCGTTTGCTTGTCTGGACTATCTCGCGAGCGCGCCGAAAACAGCAGGCCGCTGATGAGACGACCACGCATTAGCAACATTACCGGATTTATTCTTCATATTTCAGTGCGAAATTCACTTATTTTGGATCGAAATAAGATACCCAACACGCATAACTGGGTGGTGAAAATAAATAGACAACAAGATTGGAATATAGTTAAGCACTGCAGGAGCATCAGCAGACGTGACTTACTCCATTGCCCCTCGAACCGGAAGTCCAATCTAATCAATTACTAATGGATGAAATCAAATCCCACCCTACAAATTCTCCTGGTTTCACTCAGAAACTTCCTAACTGGTTGACCTCTGGCGGTCTAAGATCTCAAGATATACATTTTAGACGTTATGCAAGGGACACATTCCAAGTAAGTATAAAAACACTTTAATCTGCCATATATTCTCCCAAAAATTCCTACAGCATGTTTATAATTATTATTCTACAGCAAACGTGACAACATATAGTGTCTTCTGCTTTTTAAAGGGTTAGTTCACCCAAAAATGAAAATTCTGATTAATTACTCACCCTCATGTCGTTCCAAACCCGTAAGACCTTCGTTCATCTTCAGAACACAAATTAAGATATTTTTGATGAAATCCGAGAGCTCTCTGACCCTCCCATAGACAGCAAGGGTAAAGATCAAGGCACAGAAACATAGTAAGGACATCGTTAAAATAGTCAGGAAAATGAAATTCAGTATTTTCATTTTTGGTTGAACTATCCCTTTAAAAAGTCCTATGACAAGTTTTTTTGAAGTTCAGACTGCATAGGTTCAGGTTTTTACCGTGCAGGACCTGCAGTGTGTAATGGCCTAAAAATAGGTGGGAATGTGCAGTACTTCATCACTGGGCACAAACTCGTACCGTGGAGCTTATGGGAACAGCTTGTTTTAAGTCACCATTTTGGACTTCACTCAGAGCGCAGCCCCAACATGAGCTGTTCGCTGTCAGACTTTACATGGAGCTGTTTTATTCAGTGAACTTGGTTGCTTGTTTTTTGCATTTTCCTCTCATTTTAGAGGGTTCATTTGAAAGAAACCATTTCTTTGATGTTAACCAACTGATCAGTAGCTTTGCAATTGGATATTAGATGATCGCTGGAAGATTCTCCAAAAAATATCTTATATTATTTGATCAATAATCACCACTGGCATGGCAAAACCACGTCTGCATTTCATGTCCGGCCCAACACCAGGTTCTTGCATAGGTGTGTTTCAGAGAGACACATACTTGACTTTGTAAGTGTGTAACCTAACTGTGAGTGTTGTTGCCATTATCACCTATTTTGAGCATTTTAGAATAAACTACTGTCACTGATGTTTTATAGATGTATTGAGAAATATGTTTGTTGTACAAGCTCAAGCTGTATATTTATGTACTGAAACTGCTTTTTTTTTCAAATTAAAAATCACAAACAGATGTTTCGTTTCAGCTTTGTTCCGTGCCACCCAAATATTTAGTGAGGTGTTTCTTGTTGCACTGATGCCCTCTAGTGTAATACGAGTGTAATGTTTACACTACATTGCGGTGTATAATGTCTGCTTTTTTTTTGTATGTGACCAAAAGAATTATACAATACATTATAAAAAGTAAATGCTTTAAGAGTATGAATTTAAAACGTGGTATCCAGTTATCTTTCATTTAAAATGGTTCTTTTGGATTTTATGTAGTGTTGTTTTAGTACCATTGAGATACTATTACAGTTTTTCTTAATATTGTGAACTGGTTTGCATTTATTTATTTTTATTTTTTCATTTTTAGTATAGAGAGCGAGAGAGATGAGAAATGTTGCCTTGGCAAATGGCTGAAATTAAAAGTTAATTTTATGTTTATTTTATTTAAAGTACAGAATTTTAATGGTTTTAGTTTCAGTTTTAGTTAACTATAATATTAGGTATAATTGTAGGTCAGTCTTGTGTAAAATGTCTATACCTTTGCAAATGCAATCAAATGATGAGTCGATTTATGAAAAATCACAGCTTATGTAGAATGGTTCATTCATATTGGAAATGTATGGAAATGCATTGTATTTTTTTTTTTTTTTCAATTATAAATAAGAGTGATTGCTATTTAGAATGATGGATGGACATAAATGTTTGCATAAAGTTATCACAAGTTGTAGTAATGGAGGAAAGTACTAAGCATCTACCCAAAGGTTTAGACATTTAAAAAAAATAAAAAACAGAAATGAAAATGTTTTATATGCTGAATCAATGAATGGATTGTTTTAATTTTACTTGTATTATAAACTTTCTTTATTGTAATTGTAACATTTTTTTTTTGTTGTATTGTAAATAAATTTTATTGTATTTATATCTCTTAGTAATTAGGCTGGGATGAATTACTTTGGTTACCATGGGACATCTGAGAGCCAAACAAACAGTGCTGTCCCATAGTAAAAGCGCTGCATTATTCATTAGCTGCTACTGTGTGACAGGCAGAGCACTTGCATGGAGCTACTACACCACCAGGTAAATTTCTATTTTAATATATCAATTAGCAAAGAAGATCTTCACCTGGCTGCTTATATCAAACATTTTAATATTATTCCATATATGTCAGGAACTAAAATTGTTTGACCTGACAACTGTTTAAAAGCTAAAATTAGAGTAACATGTAACATTTTTTTCAGGTAGAATGCATATATATTGACACGTATTCTGTTACAGTGCAAGAAAAATGACATCTATACTGGAGGATGGCTTGATAAAAACAGGTTCAATAGCGCAGGTGGTGGCCCCTCTGTCCACTCACCTGTGTCACCTCATCCTACTGTGCGGGAGCGAGACAGAACTGGATGAATTCACCCGGCTGGAAGCTGCAGCTAAAGCGGTGGCCAAAGCATCCAAACACATGGCAGCTGTGGCAACAAGGTCAGTTGCATGAATTTTTCCTGACGGGGTAGAAGATGAAGCATATAAATAAATACATTACAAAAATAAACGCTGACATGAAAGTTACTTTGCCTCATAAAACAAAAACATAGCTGTATATATCATTGACAAAAGTGCTTTGTTGCTTAAAGAAAAAGTACTAAAGTGGGGGGAATTAGGTGGTAATATGGTACATGTTCAAAAACAACATAATGTTACTATGGGACATTAGCTTGGTACCAAAAACAAGGACACACCATGGTATTGCATTGTGGTTTGTACTAAATGTGTTAATGGCTCCACAGAGAACAGACATTCACATTATACCACATATCCTTGCTTTCAGGTTAGTGGAAGATACCGATGATGATGTCCTGAAGATGGAAATGGATCCACTCGTGGAATCCCTGACTGTTTCTGGTCAGCATGTGCTCCTTGCCACCCAAAAGCTCAGCATACAACCAGAGATCATAGAGCACAGAGAAGAACTCATTGAAGCCACTCAAAATGTGCTAGTAGGTGTGGTCAAGGTAATACGTTATTTGTTGTAAAGGAAAATAGCTGCATGCAAAAATCATAGAGTTGTGGGATATGTTCTTATCCTATAAAAACTCCTGGAGGGCCACAGTCCTGCAGAGTTTAGTTTCAACCTAAACTACATTCCTGTAGTTTTCAAATAATCCTGGAGGACCTGATTAAAGTGACATGATCTGTAGCCAAGTATGGTGTCCCAACCTATAATCCCTACCGGTACCAAGATTTGAACCTGCAACCTTAGGGTTGCAAGTCCAACTCTTTAACCATTAGGCCCTTTAGCTGGTTCAGTTTAATTTAATTGAAGTTAAAGCTAAAAACTGCAGAAATGTCACTCTCCAGGAAACTGATTTTGGCCCACATGGCCTTCATGGTTATATCTAGATCAGTGTTCCCAAACCTCCAGCCCTGCTCCTGGAGGGCTTCCGTCCTGCAGATTTCCGTCCCAAACCCAAACATACTTGAACCAGCTAATCAAGGTGTTTAGGGTTATTTGATAATTACAGGCAGATGTGCTGGAGCAGGGTTGGAACTGAAGTCTGCAGGACGGTAGCTCTCCAGAAGCAGGGTTGGATTCCCTTGCTGTTTTTCCACTGGGGCTGGTGCCGGAGCTGGAGTCGGTGCTCGGCCAAGAGTGGCACTCCTTCAGAACTAGCTCGCATGTCCATGGCAGGGAGCAGAACCCTCTACATCACAAACATGTGACCGGAATCAGTTGTTACCTCTGCGGAAGGAGAGCATTGGTTTCTTCTGCCGACCACTGGTGAACTGATGTATTTAATTGTTGTTGTTAATGTGGTTAATTTACTTCAACTCAGATGGCCTTTCAAACTCCGGTCTGTAGTGGAAACTCCGCCTA